TGCTAAAAATGCCTTCGAAAAAGATCTATGGAAATTAATGAACAATGCAGTATTCAGAAAAACTATGGAGGATGTCCAACGTCGTACACGGGTAGATTTAGTATAACCAATAGGAGAGGAACATCGACTTCGCAAAATGTTGGCAGATCTGGCACTAGTTGGTCGTAAGATATTTCATGGAAGTAATCTTATAGCAGTATATCGAAAGCAGACGAATGTTGTACTAAATAATTCAATCTATGTCAGAGCTTCAATTTTAGATCTTAGTAAGTATTATATATATGATTTCTGGTATAACCATATCAAGCGCAAGTATGGGGATCATGCTAAATTATGTTATACCGATATGGATTCACTAATTATTGAAATAGAGACTGAAAACGTCTATGCAGACATGATTGAGGATGCAGACTTCTATGATTTTAGTGATTATCCTGAAGAGCATCCGCTATTAGAAAAACTTTCACCTGACCAATGGATAATTCTTCCTGATGGTTTACGTGAGCTAAAAAATAAGAAAGTGATCGGAAAGTGGAAAGATAAATTTGCAGGAATCCGAGCATTAAGATATGCTGAAAACTGATTAAAGTCTTATGCATTAGAAACTGAAGATGATCACAAGAATGTACAAAAGGCGAAGGGTCTCAAAAAATCTCTCGTCAAAAAAGAGCTATCTATTGACATTTATGAGCGATGTATTCTAGAAGGAATAGAAGATGAACCACAAACTGCAAACTTCTTACGATGTAAGCATTTCGTTCCATATATAATCCACCAGACAAAAAGAAGTATTAACCTACTTGATTCCAAGAGATGGATATTAAATGATCGGATAACAACATGGGCAATTGGGGATTGTCGAATCCCAGCATATTTATCTGCATTAAAACAATATGAGGCAATTATACCTCAAGAAATATTGGCGAATTTGGATTTATAAAAGAAGGCTCAGCTATCACATCTAATATTATAATATTTTTTTTCTAGATTTTTTATTTACAATTTAAACTAACCATTTTATTACACAGCAAAGACTTAGTGTTAGCATACAATAGCAGATAAAATACCAGCAAATGAAATCCCAGTGAGTTATATTTCATGGAAAAGAATTGAGAAGGCTCAGCTCCAGGTAATAAGAGAGGCATTACGCATTCGCTACAAAAAAGATAGCAAGTTAGTTAGTGAATATGTTGGATATGTAAAAATTTTGCGACAATCAGATGATCCAGAAGAATATATAAAGTCAACTGCTATAATGATCTTTCCGAATGAAAAAGCATATAATAGAAAGATGTTTAGATATCGAAAATGGTATCAAAGTAAGAAAGATCTTCTTGCTAGTATCAAAAATCTGTACAGCCTATTCTATGCAATATCTAAAGAAAAGCGATCTATGGCTGAAGAAGAAATTGACAAAACAATAGAAGAGCTAGTTGCAAATGATAATGATGAATAAAAATAGAAAATTATTGATTGAGTATCCATTTCAGAGGAAAATCGCAGTGTTTAATCACCATCAATTCTTCTTGTACAAAAGACCTTTCTGGGTCATTACTCTCTTCATCTATTAGCCAGTATAAGACCGGCTGATTTTTTTGTATAAGAATTCTCCTGATATTAAAAATTTTAGGACTCCAGTTCATATCAGTAATCCTTCTTCTAGCAGGACCATGTTTTAATTCACCTGGTTTAAGAAAATATCTCACAGAGTCATAATAGGATAAACAAGGTTCATCATATCCAATAGGTCTTCTATGTTTTACGGCTGGCTTAGCAAATATCTTCTTTTCATTTAATGCTCTTTCTACCGCTTCATTAGGAAACATATTTATTAGCCGAGTAGGGGTATTATTAAATATACAATCATTAGCATGAAGGCTCCTAACCCAATCTCTAGAACGTTCTGATAAAGGTAGTAGAAAATCTTTAGCATCTTGCTGAATATAACCATGCTTTTCAAATTCCTGGTGATCACGTTCAGCTATAGCATTACCTTTCTTGCTTTTGGCATATTGTATTTTTACATCGTGTTTAAGTAATAAACTCTTACAATCCCCCAAATATTCCGTCCCCTTATCTGAATTAAAACAATTCGGCCAAGAGAGAGGCTCCTTAGGATCGTCATAAATTTTTTGAATATTCTTAGCCATTTGTGCAGAAGATTTATCAGTCAACGCAAAACTACGACGATACCTAGT